AGGGAGGGAGAGAGAGAGAGAGAGAGAGAGAGAGAGAGAGAGAGAGAGAGAGAGAAACAGCTGAGGCATGGCTACAGAGGGATATTGAGATAACTTGGTGTAGGTGGCATATGTCTCCCCTCTGATCCTAATACCATTGAGAAGGAACACTTTGAATCAAAGATGGTGAACATCTTCTCAACACCTGTATGTTGTGACATCCATTCTGTCACTGGACAGTGACTTAGTCTGTGTTGTTTCCAGAGACTGGGGCGTGGGGATTCACACAACCTAGCAAGGGAAACCAGCCAAGAGACAATGACCTGCTTGCTCCTCAGCCAATGCCTGGTCTGTTGGTCAATGAGTAACCACTCCGGAAGGCTTCACCCTGATGCACTTAACCGAAACCAGGGCTTATAGAAGGGAGTCTTGGGTACTATGGCCAGGCATGCAAACTCTCAGGAGACAGCACATGTGCACCAGGGCCCTAAACACTGGTAACGGTCTTTGAGAATGTGGATGTCAGGAAACAGAGTTGATGCCTAAGAGGCCAGTTGAGTATAATGTGAACTTTTTATATTGCTGGCCACTGCAAGGAGCATGTGGTCGCCTTTAGATAGTTACATGAGAGAAGTCAGCTTATAATCAGACTCACACACTCAACACCCTCCTTCCCCCACTGCCTGCCTCCTGGAAGCAGTAGGAACAGGTGCAGACAATACATGCTCTTGGTACCAAGAACTTTCCACACACTACCCCAAAGTTGCTCAGTAATATTCACTTCCTTGTGGAGAAAAGTGAGTCCACTTGATGCCGGGTAGCTTGCTCTTTTGCAGAGTCTGACTGGTTGGGAAAGTTTAAATTACTCTTAGGTCATTGACACAGATTGGATGACTGTTGTGGTAACAGCCTGAGTCTCTTGTATCTGAAAGGTCAACCCCAGACCTCTCATTGACATCCTTTCTTTCCTCAGATCTGCAGGTTCTGCTGGATATGTTCTGAGACAAAGGTCATCTTCACCGTATGTGCATCCTGTCTCATCTAGGCAAGTGTTCAGTGAGCTGGGTCCAGAAAGCACAGCGTCTAGAAACAGACATGTTGGTGAAACTGCATTTCCTTCTTTATCCTAGAGCCCGTTTATGGGACAGTAGCAGAGCAGCTAGGACAAACCAATCCCTGCAATCAGGGCTTCTCAAGGAGACCCCACTGAGTTCTCCCACAGGAAGTCACATGGGAAGAAAAAAGTCATTATTCCTGCCTCATTAGGTCCTGAACTCCACAAGAAATAAACCAGCTATTATCTGAAAGGCCACAGGTCTAGGGTGGTAAATGAATCTTTCTGCTAGCCTCATCAATGGTCTAACATAAGCTTTTTCTTCTAGGTGCCTGGCCATATCCTGAATCGTGGACCCCGAGAATTCCTGACTTGCATGTGTGCACACTGAGCATTGGTGACATGGAGGAAAAAGAGCACCTCTCCCCTCCCCTTCCTGGCAGACTAGCATGCCATTGTCTGAGCTCCAGAGGAACTCAGAGGCTCCACACAGCAACAGGAGGACATGCTGTGGAGGACGATGACATGGTTTCTCTTCCATCATCCAACTACAGACAACCACCCCAAATTACCAACAAGACCTGGGGAATCTACAGGAGTGTGCCCCTGTGAAAGCCTCCCAGTGGGTACTTACTGTTGAATCCTCCCCAACTTAGACCCCTTTGCATTTTGACAGTTCAGAAAGTCACCTATGCCTCTCTGTCTTCACAGATAACAAAGAAAACCTGCCTGAGCAGGTAAAGAAATATCTCAGAAGAGCCTTCGGAATTAAATCTGCTTATCTTTCCGAACTTTAGAATGGATCTCATGAGAAGGGTAGTATCCATGGACAACCTGTCCCAGGCCTCCACTAACATGAAGAGGCAGAACTTGAGGTCATACATTTGGCCCATATCTCACTGGTATTATGCAGAGACAATTTACAAAGAAATACTGAAATATTTAATTAGAATTCCAACATAATTTCTATAAATTGGCATTTAGAATGTATTGACCCCTGGAGGAGAGAAATCCAAAGCTATATGAGCTCTCAGCTTCTCCCAGTTGTTATTCTACAGGTGACAGATGTTTGCATTTCATCTATAGACTCAGCAAAACCCAGTCTAATGCTCAAATACAAGATGTAACAACCAATGGGACCTAAACCTAGAAGACATGGTCGAGGTCAGGAGAGATTCCTCCAGACCCAGATCTTCTTCGTCCACGACTTCCCACAAAGCCTCAGAAATCCACAAAGACCTACATGGAAGTAATGGAGACTGGATATGTGCAACAGAATAGAAAGCTCAGAAACAGACCCAGCAAAATCCTGCCAGCTGATTTTCTCATAGTCACCCATGGAAATCCAAGCAGAGAAAATGGCTTGTCCACCAATGATTGTAGAAGAAGATTTAAAAACAAATAAGAAACCCATTGAAAAACTGAACACAGTCAGCATTTCTATTGACCTCAAATACAAACACTATAATGCTCACATAAAGTTATAGAAGAGGACTACATGATATTCTGCCTTATAAAAAGGAAGATCAGAAATAACCCAGAGTAGATGAACTGTGGACTCGAGAGCCCTGCTGCCACCAGACATGAAAATACAGAAGCTGGAGCATGGCAAGAGCAGGACACTCCCCCAGGACATCCAGAGAGAGCCTGGCCCCTGACACACCCCAGCAGACAACAAATCCCTGACAGTGAAAGTTGTGTGGCTATGAGGAGGTGGAGGTGTAGTGTGTGCTGTGTGGTGTGAGGATGGCTGAAACCTATCCCATCATGTGGGATGGAGATGAGCTGTCCAGCTGATCTGATAACAGCACTGTATGGATGGTCCAGTCAGCTGGGGAAAGCAGCAGGGCTGACACCTAGACACTCACATGTGCTACCCATGCCCCTCCCCTTGTTAACAACTTACATACAGTGTCAGTGTAAGGACATGAAGGACTCCCCTCACCCACACTCTCCACAGAGTTCTCTAGGTATTAGGCCTAGGTATTCAACTCCCTTCTGATGTCCCACATGCAATGCTAGATTCTAGACCAGGCTAGACATGCCTCCAACCACAATGTCCTAAGACATGGGGAAATGTACCAGGCCCTGTTGCACACTTTATCTTCTGACAAGGACACACATTTACTGCTTGGTTCAAACACTCCTGGAAACTTCCTGCACTGACGTACAACACTAGGTATAATGCAACGTGGGACACTACACCCATGCCACCTCACTTGTACTACCAGCTGTCAGACCATGATAACCAATCTCTACAAGACACACACACACACACACACACACACACACACACACACACACAGCCTCTAATACACTTCTAAGTCTTGGGCCATGAATGACTTTTCACCCAACCACACATTGACTGCTAATTATCCGGCATTGCTAAACCCTCAGACATACCTCACATGTATTCCTAGGTCTGGATCTGGTATGTCACCCACATAATCCTTTATTAACAGCTACTTATCAGGCCATACAGGACACTCTCTTGCTACTGTACCCAAATATTCTGCTGGTATTGGACCTCACTTGACATCTCATTGTCCACTGCCAACGTTACTTCAAAATGTTATCAGACCTTGACAGACACCAGCTCAGCCATGAGCTGACACACACTCAGTAGGGATTGTGCAGAGCTTGACACCCCATTCTTCCACTGCTCCCCTCTGACATAGTTATCATCAAACACACTGGACACAACACCACCCCTGTGACCACACAGCCACTCTAGGTACCAGGTCCAGTTTGACCTCATACCCCACATTAATTGACAGCCATTAGACAATTCTGGGAACATTTCCCCTGTCAGGTCTTGCACAATACCTAGCAATTAGCATTTCTGGACCCCCTCCTTCTGCTGAAGACACATCCACACCGCTAGGCATCAGCTTCTACTGCACTCCTTCCTATGCTATACCATGTGCTGGGTCTCAGGCTCTACTGCTAGTTACTGGGCCATGCTGGACATTAACCCCTGTCCAAACCACAGTGCATATAAAGTGCTGTGTGTAAGGTTGACTTGAACACCAGGCTCCATCACACATGACTTGCTAGGTACCAGACAATGTTGACAGACACCCTTACCCCCTATATACACTACTAGCCCAGTGAACATTGCAATTTTAAGGCTCTTCTAGACACCTCCATCACTGACATATCACATTTCTTGTTATCAGACACTACCACTCTGTGCAGATTTCAGTCATGTATATTGAAGTATATTGTATGCATATATAATAATTGGCTTCGAGTCTTACCAAAAATAGCACCATTCTGTTGACAACATACACTACCAGACAGGGGCATGGGTCTAAGCACAGCTGAAAATTAGCAGGGCTATTGTGGCAGCAGGGTGGGTGAAGGAAGAGAAACTTATTAGATGAGGCCTGTTATCATGCACAACATCCGGGTTAGGACCAGGGAGTCCTGAGGATGTGATACACAGTAGGGCATCCAGGCCTCAGGCAGGTGTGCAGCACAGCCTGAAACCAAGCAGTGTGTTTCAGGCTATAGTGGCAGGGGTAGGAGTGTCCAGCCGGGCAGTGGTACATGAGTGGGTTTGGCAGCAGGACTAGGGGGCAGTAGCCAACAAGGTGCTTCTGCTGCTAGGTGTCCATTACCTACAGCCTATCTCTCTCTCTCTCTCTCCTCTCTCCCTCCCTCCTCTCCCCTCTCTTTCTCCTCTCTTGCTCCTCTCTCTCTTCCTTCCTCTCCCTGATTCTCACATACACACACTTATATATATGTACATCTAAGCCTCTATACTTATAGGTATATACTTGCCTAGAGACAAAGACTTCCAATACATGCTATTCGACTGGTCCTTCAGGGTATTGCCTCCATTACAGGCAAAGCCACTCCCTCATCAACACACAATACACACACACACACACACACACACACACACACACACACACACACACACGTAGTTACGTGGCAGGTTCTGTTAGATATACACTTGCCTCAGAGCCAAAGCCTTTCAAACAGGGCCAGGTGTCAGCTTCTGTTAGGTCCACTCTTCCCTACAGCCTATATCCTTCTTACACAGCTAGGTATAATGAACTCCTAGACATCCACTGCCATACAGTAAAGTCCCATGCACAAGGCTAGGCATCATATCCTGCTAGGAACCGCGGACAGGGACAAACACCCAGGCACAGCTCTCATATTCATATAAGGCAAGTGTCAGGCTCAAGTATTTGTCTCTAGCCTTACAACCAAAGTTCCACATACACAAACATGATTAGGTTTTAGGATCTGCTAGGTACCTTCTTCCCCACAGCAAAACGCCAGGTTAACAAACATACAAACATAGAAATGCAATCATGCACACATGCACATATGCAAACAATCATGCATGCAGGCCTGTGGGAACCCTCCCCAGGGTGTGAGTCCCAGGAGTTTTTCCTCTAGCCACATGAATGGAGCTTTGGATTTAGGGGAAGGCTAGGACTTTGCACCTACCTGCAAGTCTGTGGCATTGTTGTAGAAGTGGGAGAGTCCTTGCAGGAATACAAGTAGCCAAATATGTGTTTATGGCTTTGGCTGTAAGGGTGAGAAGACAATGTTACCATTGACACCTAGCCCTGTGTGGAGAGCTTGGGCATAAAATAGAAGTCCATTAGGACTTGACTCTGTGTGTGTGTGTGTGTGTGTGTGTGTGTGTGTGTGTGTGTGTGTGTGTGTGTGTTTGTGC